AAAGGAATTTTCTAAGTGATTTCCTAATTCAACTTTGTGAATTGTGTCTCAAAGTTGTCTATCAAAGTTGTCTCTAAGATTGTGCCTCAACTAACCTATATATAGGGGAGAGGAAATTAATCAAATGGTTATGACCTTTTGATGAAGAGGTTTATTGAAAAGCTAATAGGTATAATTGAATTGATGCAATTTTATATCAAATAATAAGTCTGTTCACTAAGTGACATAACTATTATAAAAAGACATCAATTTTATTCAATTATTTATTAATTTTTCCAAAATGATGTTGAAGAATTGCATAATATATAGGAGAATTGTCAACCTAAGGCAGTCGAGATTTTAGAGAACCTAGTCTAGACTTATTTTTGAAATGTTTTTAATTTCTTCGTATTAAAATTTTGTTCGATTAAATTATTCTGTGAAAATCACATTTAGGATCAATGCCTCGAATTTTTCATACATTTTGCATGTTGCAATAAAATTGTAAATAATCTTTTAATATGCATTCATCATTAAAATATAATTAACTACTAAAGAATATTTTATGATAAAATGAGAACAGAACTAGAAACACCACATCCATGCAACACTTGTAAGAAGACCATGAATGAGAAATTTACCAACTATGAGAAGGATCTTGAAGAGTAGTTAACAAAATCTCAACTGGATTTGCAAGAAAAAAATGTTGGAATCTCAAGAGGATATGTTCAAAAGGCTTACCCTCTTACTGGGAGGAAGAAATAAAGAACATGGAAAGGATCCAACTATAGGCACACTTACGAAGATCTCTCATATCCGCCGAGATCAACTTCGATTGACACCAAAGTTCATGAAGAAGCGTCAGTTCAAGCAAAAACATTGCATATTAACTTGCTTGGCACTGAAGTAAATATGCATGATTTTACTAGTTCGAATTATGAGGGAAATCGATCTGAAGATGTCCCAGACTTTGATGAAGAAGCTAAAGCTAAGATATGGGAATAAAAAATGAAACAACTCAAGGACCAACTTAAAACCGTCAAAGTTGAAGACAATCTTTATGGAATCGATGCTAAAGAGTTAAGCTTGGTCCCAGATTTAATCATGCCTGAAGCTTGGTCCCAGATTTAATCATGCCTCCAAAGTTCAAAATCCCAAAATTTGAAAAGTTGACAGAAACAATTGCCTTTCATTCGAAATCACTATGTTCTATTGCAAAATGAAGGGGTATGTGGGAAATCATCAATTGTTAATCCATTACTTTAAAGAGGCCTTGAAAGATTCGACTGTCTATTGGTACAATCAATTAAGTAGAGTTTATATCCAATCTTGGAAGGATTTATCTAAGTACTTCCTAGAAAAATATAAACATGTGAAAGATATAAGGCCTAACTAGATCATGTTCCAAAGCATGAAAAGAAATCATATGAGAGTTTCAAACAATATGCCCAAAGATGGAGAGATATAGTCTTGTAAATTCATCCTCTATTAGATGAAGAAAAGAGAACGATGCTTTTTGTTAGCACCTTGAAGGCCACGTTTATATGACCATGGTTGGGAATCATTCTAGGAATTTTGCCGACAGAATCATGTCTATGGAGATGATAAAAATGGCCATCAAGCATGGAAAAATCAAAGGAAGTAATTTTGCTAGATGACCCACTGTAGTGAAGAATGATGGTGAAGTCAACAATGTATGAACCTATGGTTCTGGACAAGTGTTGCTATCTATCACTAAAAGTAGAAACATCGCTAAACCCGTCAAGACAATATTCAAGAGGGCCAATGGTAGAAACAGAGATCAAATTGATCCAATACCCATGACATACAAAGAATTTTTCTAGCAGCTCTACAATAAACATGTTGTGTCTCCATTTCATGTAAATGCTTTACAACCACCTTAGCCCAAATAGTACTACACAAATGCTCAGTGTCATTACTATGTTAGTATTTCTAGACACACTATTGAAAGTTTCCTTATATTTAAAAGTGTTTTTCAAAGACTTTGAGATAAAAATGTATTTAATTTTAATGATTCGAAGCCACAAAATGTTGCACAAAATCCACTACCCAATCATGGAGAAACATGGATCAATTTCATAATGAAGGAAGGTACTGAAGTGAATAATAGGGCTAAGATTCGTCCACTTTCACATAGATTTGTGCTTAATAACTAGACTGTAGAAAAGTTACGTGTGATTTTTAAGGCTTCTTTATAGTAATACACACACTTTTCCTATTCGCTCATGTTCGGGGCAATAGGTAATCCCTTGTAAGGGTGAATAAACAATTTATTTTCGATTTCAATAAATGATGTATTCCATGTTTCATTTGGCAAAAATCTCTCATTCATAATTTTTATTTCTTTGTGTGTATATAGTATTATTTCTTTTTGTTTTTATGTGGAATAGTTTCTCTCGCATGCATATATGTGTATATATTTTATTGTCTATCTTTATTTTAGGTCCCTAGATATTAATGGTATGAATAATGATAATTATGACCCGTAGATTGATTTCAAGTTGTATATATATCTAGGGGAAATCATTAAGTGTTATAACGAGGAAGAATGTTACTTACATTCTGAATTATTGAGAATGGTAGATTTTGAATCTGAGGTCTAATGAGAGGATGGAGAAATAAAGATAGGCACCATGTTTTCTGCCTAAGCACGACAAAGTCTGAATGAATAGCTCCAAGAATATAAGGACGTGTTCGCATGATCATATCAGGATATACCAAGAATAGACACAAATATAGTAGTCCACATATAGTAGTCCACAAGCTGCCAATCAAGCTAGAATGTAAACAAATACAACGATAATTAAGACTGATGAGACAAAAAATACTCTTAAAGATAAAAGAAAGAAGTTATGAAATAATTATATGTCAGTTTTATTCAAGTAGGCAAATATTCAAAATGGGTTGCTAACATAATACCGATGAAAGAATGATGAAAAGGTGTGCATGTGAGTCGATTATCGAGACCTCGATAAAGCAAGCCCCAAGGAAAATTTCCCTTTACTACAAATAAACACTTTGGTGGATAATACGGTTAGAAATTCTTTATTCTCATTCATGGTTGGCTTCTCCAAATATAACCAGATAAAAAAGCACCCTGAAGACACAAAAAACCATGTTCGTGATCATGTGGGGCACACTTTATTACAAAGTGATATTCTTCAAACTAAAGCATGGAGAGGTAACGTACCAAAGAGCCATGGTAACTTTGTTCCATGATATGATGCATAAAGAGATTGAGGTGTATGTTGATGAAATAATTGTCAAGGTTCGAACAAAAAAAACACATTGAGAATTTGAGAAGCTACCATGCCTCGTCTTTAACAAGAAGTGTATTGAAATTTAGTACCTCCAAATACACAAAAAGAACTTCATGGATTCTTAGGTTCATCTCACAGTTAACCTAAAAATGTGATCCAACTTTTTGTCTTCTTCGAAAGAATAATACAAGGATATGTGATGATAGTTACAAAGATACATTTAAGAAAGTTAAGAGTATTTGTCTCACACTCCAATTTTTCCATATCCAACTTCTTGACTAATAGAGCTTCCAAAGACTACGAATCACTAAACTTTAATTTTTTCAGATAAAAATCTAAATGTCATATCAGTAGAAGAAGCAAGCACTTGCACTTTGGAGTACTATAAGTTGAATGGTGAAGTGCTCCAATGTTTTTGGTCACAAAATTAGGGCAATTTGGTCTCACCCAAAGGAGGTAATTTTCCACTCATCAGTAGATTGAATTTTGTCTACAACCCAACATGGTCAAATATGAAGAAGAGGTGGATATTCCACAATTAGGGCATAGAAAATCCATCATTTCTCACTACAGCAAAATTGTTCTACAACGGCATTTTTAGCGACGTTTTGAGAGAAAACAACACTAAATTTAAACATATAGTGGCATTTACATTCCAAACGCCACAATATGGTAACTTTAGTGGTGTTTTTATATAAATAATATAATATGGTTCATCTATAGTGGCATTTTTTCAACAAACGCATCTATAGAGTAGTACTTTACCGGTGTCTTTACAAAAATGCCATAATAGGGTTAATTTATAGTGGCATTTTTTCAACAAACGCCGCAACAGAGTAGTACATTTGTGGCATTTTTATACAAATGTTGTAATAGGGTTCATCTATAGTGGTATTTTCTCAACAAACGCCGCAAAGGAGTAGTACTTTAGCAGTGTTTTTACAAAAATATTGCAATAGGGTTTATCTATAGTGGCATTTTTTCAACAAACGCCGCAACAGAGTAATATGCTAGCGGTGTTTTTATATAAATGCTGCAATAGGGTTCATATATAGTGTCATTTTTTCAACAAATGCCGCAACAGAGTAGTACATTAGCAATGTTTTTATACAAATACCATAATAGGGTTCATCTATAGTGGCGTTTATTATAAAAACAACGCAAAATCGCATACATTAGTGGCATTTTTCTTGTAAACGTCACGAAAGGATAAATATATCTCCCCCTTTCTCCTGTCTGATCCCTAATTCTTTTGCACCTCTTCTCCCCTATCTTCCCTCTTTTTCCTGTAAATTGCCATTATTGCTTTGTCTTTCGATTGTTGCTCTGTTGCAGTCGTTCCCCGCTAAAGCCCAAGTCTACCATTGAATCTAACAGTTTTAGCTGTCACTTTGCTTCACCTGGTAAAACATGTAGTGCTCTATCTCATTTTTTTCTTATGATTTCAAATCTCAGCTTGGATTTAATATTATTCTGTTCGTGTGAAATTTAGTTGCTATGTACATGGAGAAATATAGAGTTTTTAATTGTAAAACTAATTCAAATAAACATGGAAGTGATTCAAGCTTCTGCAAAATATATTAAAAAATCATTTTTTCTATCAGTTTTAGAAAATGTATATCCTTTATCAGTGATGATAGATTCTTAAAACTTGTCGACTTATTAAAATCAATGTTTTTCCTACTATTGTTGTTGAACGTTCTCTGTTTAACTTGAGAATTTTCGGTATGTCTGGATACAGACTGTTGAAGAAAAGAAAAAGCTGGAGGAAAGTGAACAGTTGCTAAACCAAAGGAGGTTAGTTATTGATCAAATTGTGTTTTCTACAAATTCTCTACTTGTTGAATATGTGTTCATTTGATATTCTTCCGGTTCAAGGGATCTTATAGCCAATTACTGAAGCTCTGTGGAAGACCTTGTGAAGACTGAGCCATAGTCGCTTCTCACTTTACTAAGCACAGGTAAAAAAATGAATAGTGAACAATATGATAAATATTTTCAATAATGGTCGCAGTTTGTGTTGTTTACTTTTAACATATCAGTTTAATGTCCAATTGGAGTGAGGCTTTTTCATAAACAATCTTGATTAAGATAAGCAATTTTGCATTGACTTTCTTAGTTTGCCAATTTGTCTAAAATAAGTAAAAAAAAAAGTGCACAGATCAGAAGAATGATATGGTTTTGTGAAACCATGCATATATGGCTCAAATTCTTAGTCAACCCTTTGACTTAGGATTAGCAGTAGAATGTCACCTATGTTGTTATAGAGCATAAGATATCAGGATTAGGTGAGGATAAGTAGTTTGAGAATGGATATTATATGGGTAACAATTATGTACAAACCATTATCTATCTCACGCAAGCACAAGAAGAAGAAAAATGAATCAAACCTCAAACAAGTTTTTGGGTAATAGAACAGGAAATCTAGACCTTGTTGAGCAGTTTTTTTCTGAGAGCCTATATGTTATCTAACTTTACTATTAAGATTGAGTTCGTTCTTCTAGAGGTTTACACTCTATTATGTTGCATCGATAATGCAACTTCGGCCTCTTGGAAATCTATTCACTGAGGTTACACTATTTACAACTCAAAACTTTTATTGTTATTATACCAGTCATCTACAGTGAAAGTTTCTTTAAGAGTGTTAGTTTCAAAGAGAACGAATATGAATTCTTATTCTATTGTCTTTGAAAACTATCGTTGCAAATTGTGAAGTTGTCGCTGCTGTTCTAGAGCTGTTGGGTTAGATTCGTATGTTTTTGCACTTAAGTTGTTCTTCCACTATTGTATAAATACTCCTATGCTGCATAAAGCTAAACAAATGCACTGTTGATTGATCCTTAATTCCTTACCAAATAAAAAAAGAATCTGAATAAAATAAAATTAAAATTAATAGTAAATGAAGTTGAAGAAGGTGTATGTAGCCTTTAAAATCAGACAAAACCCAGTAGAATAACCCAATTTTTTTTGTTTGGGAATTAAGAAAGTGAAAGAATCTGGTGTTTGTTTACACAACGAAGCAAGAAGATACATTGTTGATTAGGCCAGTTCATTTCATTTGTAGGCTTTCCATTTCAATTCTCATTTTGATTTTATATACTATAAAAATATATACGAATTAAGAAAGTGAAACAATCTGGTGTTCTTGCTATTCTCGTCCTCCTCTTTCTTTGTACCTTAAACAGTCTTTGTTTAGCTTATGCCCAAATGTCTAAGTATTCTGAATCATTTTTATTTATCATCAAGTCTTTTGGTTGTAGAATTATACTTCTTTGGGTATAACTGAAGTACCAAGTTTTTTTGGTTGACATACACCCTTTAATTGAAAATAACTATTTTTCTGGAAGCCCAAGTTAATGGACTTCTTTTACCGACTGAAAAATAGAATGCTGAAAACTTAAGTGTTGAAAATAAGATTTTATTGAGATCTTAAATTGACAAATTGAGATGGAAAGACTAGATAGTTAAAAATAATGAATATAAGATTAATGTAGTTCATTGATGAAAATAACCCAATAAATTAGGGAGGTTTAATTACTTAAACATTTTCATTAATGAAAATATTTTAATTAGTAATCGTGGAAACAAAAGTAAATTATCTCATTTGTACTTAAGTATCACCAATAAGTTAAGTGTACTATGTTAGTAATAAGGGAGAAAATGTAATGATTATATTTAGTTGCACTATTTATGTATAATATTAACAATTAACATTTGAAATTGATATTCCAGAAATACAAAATGGATAAGAGTTGGATGGATTTGTCAAGGGTAAGCGACGAATATCGAAATGGAGTCGAAACTTTTCTAAATTTAGCTTTTGTGAATGCAAGCAAAGAGAATATGATTATTTGCCCTTGTAAGAAGTGTGCTAACATTAATTGGCACATTCGTGAAGTTTTCTACTAGCATCTAGTTGTTTTTAGCTTTGTTCGGGGCTAGAAAATGGATATTTCATGGAGAGTTTACATCTCATATCTCTTCTTCCATGAGTTATTCGACTTATCCTTCTAATTCTCACAATCGATCTGTTAGAGAATATGATATGGAAGGTATGTTGTGAGATGCATTTAATATGCACAATCATCATCAATCTGTTAGATAAAATGATTGTGACAATGATGTTAATGATTTCATTGAGATGAGAAGAAGTGGATGTGCTGAAAAGCCAAATGGAGAAGCGGGAAAGTTTTACAAGTTGCTTAATGAAATGAAAGAACAACTTTATGATGGATCAAAATATTCAAAGCTCTCTTTATGTATTTGTCTTTTCCACTTAAAATGCTTGGGAGGGTGGACTGGTAACTCTTTTACACAGTTATTAGAGTTTCTAGGAGAAATGTTTCCTTTTGCAAAAATCCCTCAATCATGCAAAGATATGAAGAAAATGATAAAAGATTTGGGTCTTAGTTATGAGAAAATTCATAGTTGTACCATGATTGTCACATGATTATTCACATGATTATCAAATATTAATGAAAGATTTGATGCCAGTAGCTTTACGCGGTTGTATGTCGAGTAAGGTGATGTCTTGTATCATTGAACTTTCTAATATAATGAAAGTTGTGTGTGGGAAAGTTATGATGGTTGAAGAACTTGAGAAACTACAAGATCGAGCCGTCTTGACTTTATGCAACTTAGAGAAGTTATTTCCACCTTCATTCTTCACAATTATGGTGCACCTGCTAATTCATCTTCCTCACGAAGCAAAAGTTATTGGACCAGTTTTCTATCGATGAATGTACCCTATAGAGAGGTGTTAATTAAATTATATGTATTAAATGACTAGTGATTATACATTTTCATCAAAACTATTTACATAGTATTTTGTTTAGTGTATAGATTCTTGTGCAAGTTGAAGTCTTACTGTCGTAATAAGCGTTATCCAGAAAGATCAATTGCTGAAGGGTATTTCACAGAGGAATGTATGACATTTTGCTCTAGATATTTGGAAGATGTTGAAACAAGACTGAATAAACCAAATGAAAATGATGTGTTCAGTACTAATGACTTAGTTGAGACTTATTTGTTTGGAAGTTATGGTGAACCACTCGACAAAGTTGAAATTGCACACTTAGATGATACGTCTTAGGTACAAGCACACCGATATGTTCTTTTCCATCACGATTTAATAGATCCCTTTAGCACGTAAGTTTTACTCACAAAATCCTAATGTATTTACTTCTTTTATATTTTTCATTCTTTAACGATATAATATACTTTATAATGAGTTTAAATAAGTTTTGAGATCTCGTGCACGCTCCTGAAGAGTACATCAGCGATAGATACATAAATTATTCATAGAAACTTTTCATGAATGGTTAGGGCATAGAGTAAACAACTAGATCATTGCACATCGTTGTAAATAATATATAACTCTTGTTTGTTTATATCGACATAAATGCAAATTAATTCACCTTTCACGTGTAATAGGTTTGGAGTGGGAGAGAAGTTAGTGAAGATGTTAAATGGCTTTCTCAAGGTCTGAATAGAATTGTTAAAAGATATAATGCCTTCCTTATTAATGGGTTCATGTTCCACACGAAATCTCCTGAAAGATTAAGGAGGATACAAAATTGTGGAGTAGTTGTTACTTCTTCAACTACAAGTTATGCTAGTGTCAGGAAAAATCATTCTTTGGAGGGAGATGTAGAATATTATGGAATTCTTACAGACATTATTGAGTTGGATTATTATGGAAAACGAAAGGTTGTGATGTTTCGGTGTGACCAGGTTGACGTAAACACTACTCGAGGCATAAAAAGAGATAAATTTGGTTTTACAATGGTGAATTTCTTTCGATTAATTCACACTGGTCAATGATTGATGGAATAGTCATATGTATTTTCTTCTCAAGTCAAACAAGTTTTTTATTGTCACGATCCAATGGATGAGGCTTGGTTTGTTGTGCTCCGTAATACCCCCAGAGACTTGATAGACATCGGGGATGGAAATAGAGATGACATTGAAACAAGATCAGAATCTTTACCTTTTTTAGCACAAAAATTAGATGAAACTATCACTAATACTACACAACTTCAATGGGTTCGGGAGGACGTGGATGAAGATATTTATGAGAATTGATATGACATAAGAATGTAGTAAGATTTATATCTTAATTTATTAATTTATAATATTGTAACTTATAACAACATGTTGTCCTTCAATATATTAATTAATTGAACCATTTTCTTACTAAAATTGTTGTTTGTTTATTACAGACATCATGCCTAGGAGAAAATTAAGTTATTTGCGAATTGTTCGAGCTTCTCAAGAGGAGGAACAAACAAATAATGAGGAATTGACTGTTGTTGACTCTTCGAAAGTTCCTATTACTGTTGAAGAAGTTGTAGAAATTGAAGGTAATGTTCGACACTTTCTTTAATTGTTGGTTTATTTTGAAAACTTACATTTAATTATTTCTTATATAGTTGAAAACGGTGGAACATGCAAGACTAGAGGAGTATAACGTTGAAAGAATTATACCAACTTCCTCCTAGGCACCGTGTGAAAGTTGCAAGAAACGATGTCGGTCAACCTATTGGCCCGGAAGCACATCTTTTATCTGGTTACTTAGGCATGGTTACACATAATGATAACCTTTTACCGGTCAATTATGAGTCATGGTGTGAAATGCCAAACAGTAACAAAAATCAGGCTTTGGATTTTGTTAAGGTAATAATGTCATTACAATTGATAATCCATAAGAGTTCAATAGTAATTTAGACATACTTTGAACATTTATGTTATTTGTAGGAGAAATTTTCTTTAAAGGTCTCAGACGATTATTTGAAACAAACGTTAGGGAAGAGATAGAGAGAGCACAAGAGTTAATTAAAAAAGAAATATTTCAAGAATGATCTCAGCCTTGAAGAGAAGCTACAAACTGTCCTACCTAGAATGCTCATGTATGAATGGGAAGACGCAGTTAGGTTTTGGAGTTCAAAGAAAGCACAAGTATCATGTATTT